CCACCCTAATGTACATTTTCTCGCCTTGCAGCATTCATTTAACGACGAACCATTTCGTCAAATTGGAAGTAATGAACAAATTATAAAAGTTGATGAAAAGTTCAAAAGCGCGTTGAACTTATTTATTACGAAGCCTTCTATGGCTGTCGAGCAAAAATATTGCTAGCAACGAGTACTACAGTATATACAGTGACTCAGAAGAGCACGTGTTGATTTTCTTACTATTCGTAATGTTTTTCGAGATCATTTTTTTCTGTTATTTTTCTATAAAAATACCTTTCAAGCTTTAACCAAAATCCTATAGCTCACAGTTTCAAACTTTATTCAAAATTTAGGAATATTCAACAAATTTTCATTAAAATTTCAACTTTTTAATACGAATCTTTGGGCATGTAGTTTTATAGCTCATGCAATTTTAGTCTAATGAAGTGCAAGTTTCAACTGGCTAAAAATCCTGTTGATTTTTGAGAATTTTCTTTTTTGTGATGGATTTTTTCACTTGTAAGCATGAATTTCTTTTCTGAATAAAATGCGAGATACCTTCAGCAACGAAACTTTAAAAAAGCAACGCCAGTTTTTGTAAATTGCACTTGCTGGTTGAAACTTGTCCTTCATTACAATAAAATTGTATGGGTTATAAAACTGCATACTCGAAAATGATCTAAAGATTTAGTCAGATTCAAAAAGATTCAGTTGAAATGAATTGAAGTTGAAAATTTGTTGAGATTTCCGAATTTTTTTACTGAGTTTGAAACAGTGATTTATATGATTTCGGTTAAAGCTGGTACATTATTGTTATAGAAAAAATAGCAAAAATATTAAACATTACGAATATAAAAAAACAATCAACACGTGGTCATTTATTTGAGTCACTGTACTATATGCACAAAGATATGCATACTATGTATGTATTATTTCTTGTTGTCCAGTAGTTAACTCATCAACATCCAGATCTTGCAATTCATATAAACAAGGGCGTACCCAGGAGGAGCAGGGGGGCAGGTTAAACTTAAACGTAGAATACGTGACCACCGGTGTGAACGACAGTACTCGGCTTCGGAGTCTCTCTCCCACCACAAATCATCTGAGGCATTGTTTCGCTTCTTCACTGGAAGGGGTTTTTACGTGGGGGTGGTTTCACAACTAAATATGCGTTTATATAGCGAGCCGCTTGCTCCAAGACAGACACCCGCTTGAAGCCGCTCCTACTGGTGAACAGACGCTGCAGACTTCAGTCAGCCCTTAAACCAAATAAATCGGAGTGGACCCACCGGAGCTCCATCTCTTTCTGCCGTGGGCCAAGGCTCCACTCGGATTGGTTACCGCATCGAGGATTGAGTATAGCCGTGCAACTGTAACTGTATACACAGCACAACGACTATACCCCATTGTACTCTTAATATTGAGAGCATTCAGGTTAAAAACTGTACATTCCTTTTGATTTTATTGGATTGAATTTTAAATTGTAAGTTTCCTGAGAAAGAACGCGGTTCAAAAATTTTCTGAGATAAGGCGTTTTCGAACTGGCTGCCGAGATAGGTCGATCTTCCACTCAGCCATCGATATGTAGTATATCGAGGGCGTATATTCAATACCCTCTATCTGCAATTTTGATGAAAGTGAGTTTCATAGTTTCTAACTACAGACCCATTTCCCTCCTAACATTTACATCTAAAGAACTGAGATTTTCATTATTCTGCAAAACCCGCTATCAGCACATTTTTTTTTATATATGTAAATAGTTACAATTCGAATTACAATAACCTCTATCTGATCTTTTAACTAAAACAAAATGAATTAAAGGTAAAATCCTAGTTTTAATATATAGCTTGAATTTTTAAGACATGCGTGGGTACCTAAAAATATTAACACTTTTAAAAATAGCTGTCAACAGAGTTGTTTTGCTCTCCTGAAAAATTGAGTTTTCGCAGATAGAGGGTATTGAATATAACCCCTCGATATATGTACATGCATTAAAACCACTTGCTGCGTAGGTACGCATCATTCGTATGCAAGTCAATTGACCGCCTATGAAAATTTCTCGACAACGGCAATTGAGAGTGCAATCGTCTACACTGAAAGGCACGTTCTGGTTCGAGTTGATGGGTTAAACTTTTGGAAAAAAAGTAGACCAACCTTGTTTTCAATATGTAATCCGCAAAAAATCGTAAGAACTCCGTAATTTCCCATAACGGTTGATAAGATTATTGCAAAAATTAATTGAGAGCGACATAAATTACCCCAATAACTAAACTTTAAATTTTTTTTTATTTTTTTAAATTTAAATAGTACATACGGATCTGTAGAGAACATAGAGATCCGTGTGTGTATGTATGTATATACCTCAGACCTTCTTCTGTTCGCCCATCAATCAGCGCCAGACACTCAACATTTTAATTCAAGTAGGAAGTAACAATAGCTCTGATCCAGTACTCCATGAACTTACAGGATTTTACTCGGAACTTGCAGGAAGTTGCAGGTAAAAGGTTCCCGTACTCCAAAATCCTGTAAATGAGAGCGACTTTTAGAGAGTTGTGTAGAGAATGAAGTTGCAAGATTTTACCCGAACTTTTTCTTCAGGTAAAATCATTAAAAGTGTCAAGCAATCACTGGTTGACGTTTTTACAGGAAAAATGGCTTTTTTGTTCCCGTACTTTTTGTTGTTACTCACTTTTTATTCTCACTTCAGAGAGTAATTTTGCTGTTTGACAGTTTTACATGATTTTTCACGAAAAGTATTGGATCAGAGCTAATATTTAAATTTAAAACTAATTCAATAATGAAATAAATAGAATTATAATAATAGAATAATTGGCATGGCGAATGCCTTACGCTGACGAGTTGAAATGATAAGATTGGTAGCCTCATGGCTCTTTGAAATCTACCTTATGAGCAGTAACGCCGGCCGCCGCCGAATATTTTTGAAGTTGACCACGCCGCCGCCGCAACGCCTGTCGGCGTAAACCTCTAGTATGTACACACATTCCAAATTACAGTTTTTTTTAAATAGTTCCACTGGAATAATCGAAATACTTTTTTTTAACACGTTTTACTGGAATAATCGAAAAACATACATACATACACACATTCATACAAAAAGTTTTATAATTTTTGCTCATATACATACATATTTAGACCCGGAAGTCGATGAACAAATGTAGTTTGTAGAATACAAAAAATCTCGAAGCAGCCTCGTAAATCTCAACAAAGTACTGTTGTTTCTCTTAATAAATGATATGAAAATATCCCAAGAACCTTGAATTAGGCTCGAAAATATCGACATAGTCCCAAAAATCGCGAAGTAAATCCCAAAAATCAAATCAAGATCCCCGAAATGTAGGGAAAATTGCTAAGTAGTCCCGAAAATCCAGAAATATAATATGAACATAATTAGTAATAAACTTGGTACGCATAATTTTGCGTAGAACTCAAAGTTGGAAAATACTTGAAAATCGTACATGATTTGCATAAAAAAGTATTATTTATTTGAAAAATCACGAAACAAGTCAAATAAGTAAGTTTTATTCTTTATTTCATCGACGAAACAAATCACAAATAAAATTTATTTGGGATTTGATGTAACTTTCAATTCAGAAATAAATTTGATTTAGCGATTTGTGATTTGACTAATTCCACGCAACCGTAATTACATGTAAGTTGTGTCTTCCACGCGACAACCTGAAATGTGCTACTCTCCCACGCAAATAATTAAATTTGCTACTTTTCCATGCGAGAAACTAAAATGTGCTACTTTTCCACGCAAAAATCTGAAATGTGCTACTTTTCGACGTAAATAGTGAAACGTGCTAGTCTTCCACGGTAATTTGAGATGTACTACTCTTCGTAGGGAGCGAATTTTATATATGAATTGTATATATGGGTCAGTTCCATGAACCAACGTTCATGGGTTCAAGGGTCAGTTCGTAAATGAATTTCCGCGGCTTTACTGCAAAATACTTTCCCAAACTATAATAGATGGATACGTCCAGTATGCGTAAATATGGCTAAATGCTGGATTGGAAGTAAGTTGCAAAAATAAGGCATTTCTATGAACTGTAGTATATGAAAAAACGAGTTTAGTTCTTGAAGTGATACTGCGGACTACGTTTACGAACTGGTCCTATTTTTCTGCAATTTTAAGTCGCAAGACTGTAACAAATAAATAAATATGTATTTGCATACATTTATCAAGCACATATGTATATATGGTACATTTCTCTTGAGAAAATAAGCTGCATTATATGTGGTAAGTTGTACCAATCAGTTGTTGTTTTTGAGTTCATTTAAATTTACAGCAACTTTTGGTATTAATTATATACATATGTAGCTAAACTAGATTTCTTTAAGTCATCAATTTTAATTTATTTTAACCGTTGTATGTATGTATGTATGTTGGTATTTCTGTTCGTTTACTTAGGATCAGATGGTAGTTTGAAGCCGACCAAATCCGCAGTCTCTTTGACACTACGTTCACCTCGACCATGATATTCTTTATAGAGCTCATTGAATTTTCGCAAACTGGACAAATACGTGAGATAGGTTTGTCCAAGGAATAGCGCTTCATCCCGTGCCTTACACAACTGCTGATCCGTGGTCGAATATTTCTTGTACTGCGCTAGTACATAACGAGCGGCCAGTGAATTTTTAATGCAGCCGTTCGGTGAAGCATAACGCAATTCTTGCAGTAATGAACGCAATGTTTTCGTCGCAGCCATGCTGGAAGAAATTTAGAAGGTTGGATTAATAAATTTCAAATATATCTAGGATTTAAATTAGATTTTTACTCACTTGGAATTACAAAACGGCAAAAAATTACAAAACAATCCGGTTAACAGCTGATTATGACAGATAGTACTCGCTGACGGCAACTCGAAAATTTATACCGAAAATCAAAAATCAGCAATACCGTAAAATTCAATGACATCCCAACAAGAACAGTGATAGCAGAGAACGTAGGGATCTAATTATTATCGTAAATATTTATTTATTTGATTTATTCAACGTTCTCTGTTTATTCATACATATATAATTTCGGAATTTTTAAATGTGAATCGTTTTATTAATGCAAAGATATTAATCAGAATCTAAAACGAGGTAATCCATATGCTAGGGGATCGTAACAGTCTCTTCCATTTTTACATCATTTTCGTCTTTATCTATGCTCAGTTCCAGTATCGCGTCCTCGTCCACCGACATATTTCCCTTAGAACCATTTTCATCCGTCGGCGACTCCTTCTTGGCCGTTTTCCCATTCTCTAACTTTATTCCGTTTTTCTCTACGTTTAACTGAAGACCCTCATCATCACTTAGCTCCATTGTATCTAAGCCGTTTAGATCATCATCATCACTACTCTCACTGCTGCTATCTTCTTCCAGTTGTGCCTGTAGCTCGCGTATGGAATACATGAGTAATGTGAAGTCGTTGCGACGTTTTTGAAATTTGCGCTCTAATTTAATTTTCTTTTCCATCAACTCAGCAAGATCTTTTTTAAGTGCATCTATCTGTTTCGTGGTATCTTTACGGTCAGGTTGTTCCTTAATCACCTTTGCCAACATATCGTACTCCATTTTATTTTTGCGTATCTGCTTTGCTAATACGAGTTCAAGTTTACTTTCTTCTATATCGTTTTTAGCTAATTCAATACTTTTTTCAATGGAGTCGGATAACTTTGCATAGTTTTTTAACTCTTCTTGTATCATCTTAGAAGTGTAGTCGGTTTTCGCAGCAGCGAACTCACATTGTGCCATTTGTGCCAGCAGGCGATCATAGATTATTTGACTGTTAAAGTGAACAAAAGTTTATGAATTTAATTAACTGGTATTTGGATCCCAGCTTGTAATACGTACTTGTTTTCCGGTGAATCATTTTTGGAGAAAGTCCACTTCAAGAATTGTTTAAGAAGCATGTTAAGCCGGCGATCATCACCAGTGCCATCTCCATCAATCAATAAGCGGCGTTTAATTATATCCTCTGCAAATATTTTAATACTTCAGATTTTATACCAATAATTGTACTTTAATGAATACATACCGTCAGACATAATAAATTAAACTTTTTTGCAGAAAGATTGCACACAAATTATCAAATTAATTACTGCAAGCGCCTGGGCTCAAAGTAAACACAATTTTCATCAGTTTTCTTAATTGACATTTATCAATTTTTCACTTCTCTTGCTACGTCCGTTTTGCTACAGGCTGCCAGGGATGGAATTTCATAATTTCAAAATATGCCTAATCGACTGCAAAAATAGTGCCAAAAAACCACAAAATTAAAATTGCTTTCTTTTAAGTGTTTTTAAAAGCAATATTTAAAAAAAGTAGGATTTTTACAGTACCGTGAAATAATATAGTAATTATTAATTCATTGAATTACACTGTTGGCAAATAATTGGCTGAGTAATTGATGAAACCAGGTTTTACTGAAAGTCTTACTTGCATATAGTAAAGTAATTGCCAGGCTTTTGAGTTGATAGTCGCGAAGCAGCATTTGACATCATTATATAAATAGGCAATCATGTTTCCTTTACACCCCTTTTACGGCTAAACTATACTTCTAAGGTATAAACAATTATATATCATTAGAAAGGTATTTTGATGCTGATGTGCAGGCAATTTTTAAAATTTCAAATCAGTTTAAAATAGAGCGATAAAATCAATTCAAAAGTCACACCAATACCAATGCCATACATGTACATGGTTGGGCGGAAATGCCCCCTAAATGTATGCTTTAATATTGATAGCGAATTAAAGAAACGTGCTAGGCAGCAGTTCAGGAATAAAATGTATGTATGTATGTTCATGAATAGATTAGACTCAAACAAGGAAGAAGGTAAAGTTGAGTATGGGGAAGAAGAAAGTGATAAATACAGAAATTAAAATAAAAGTAAAGAAACCTAGATATAAAGACAAAGAGGAAGAAAAATTTAAATACCTAACCTAATAACAATGGTGGGGGTGAATATGTAAATGAAGAAAAGAATGGACATATTTAGATCAGGATAAAGGAAAAGATAAAGATGAAGACCAAGACGACGAAGATGAAGATGAAGATGAAGATGAAGATGAAGATGAAGATGAAGA